GTCTTCCCAGCTGATGTCAGGGTGGTTGAAGTCCCCCATGAGAACCAGGGCCTGTGATTGTGAGGCTGCTTGCAGCTGCCTGTAGAAGGCCTCATCAACTTCATCTTCCTGGTCAGGTGGCCTGTAGTACACACCCACAGTAATGTCACCCTTATGAGCCTGTCCCTTAATTCTAACCCATAAGCTCTCAACTCGTTCCTCATCTGCCCCCAGGCAAAGCTCAGTGCATTCCAGTTGCTCCCTCACATGTAGAGCAACTCCACTACCTCTCCTTGTTGGCCTGTCTTTCCTAAAGAGTCTGTAGCCATCCATAACAGCATGCCAGTCATGCAAGTTGTTCCACCACGTTTCTGTGATGGTGACCAAGTCGTAGCCGTCCTGCTGTATAATGGCTTCCAGCTCCTCCTGTTTATTGCCAATGCTACGTGCGTTGGTATAGACACACTTGAGCTGGGCTGTCAATCTCACCCCTGACCCTGGCACGCCAAGCCTGAGCTCATCCCTAGTGAGCTGGCCAATATCCCCTTCCCCCTTCGAACCTAGTTTAAAGCCCTCTCAATGAGCCCCGCCACCTTGTGGCCAAGAATCCTTTTTCGCCTTTGAGATAGCTGCACTCCGTCTGTCGCCAGCAGGCCCGGTGCTGTGTACACCTCCCCGTGATCAAAGAAGCCAAAATTTGACCGATGGCACCAGTCCCTGAGCCATTTGTTAATCAGGTGAGTTTTCCTGCCCCTTGCAGTGCTGTTCCCTGCCACTGATGGGATTGAGGAAAACACCACCTGTGCCCCTGATCCCTCAACCAGTCACCCCAGTGCCCTGAAGTCCCTTCTGATGGCCTTGGGACTTCTCTCTGTGATCTCGTCCCCGCCAACCTGCATTACCAACAGCGGGTAATAATCAGCTAATAATAAAGCTAACAAACTTAGCTGATCTTAAAGTTACAGTAAAGATGCTCCACAAGCTTGCAGCAACTTGAATTCCTATTTCCAGGCCAGTGTCACAAGGAAAGCTACATTTGTTCTTTAGAGAGTTTTGTATAATTCTGAAAGTATCATCATAGAACAAATATGAAAACATAGGATTTGGCAGTGTCCTACGTTTGTATTTAGAGAAAGACCTGTAATACACGTCTGGATATAAACTTTGATTCAATCTAAGGACATCAATTACAGGAAAAAAAAATTGAATTTTGCCTAAAAACTAGAAAAGAGCTGGAAGCAGCACATATTTGAGAGGGTCATAGATATTTACCTGGAGGCCCCCAGTACACTCATAAGAGCTTGTAAAGAAAAAAAAGATGATTGTAATTGCATCTCATCTTTAAGCTTTCTTACTGTTTGCTGATGACTTCTCAAGTCCTGAACTTTAACAGATGTTTGATCAGCACCAGTGCATTTGTTTAAATAAACATCTGTTGGTAGTGGAAGGTTAAGTTCCCCATTATCTAGATCTATTAAATTAAAAATTCAGAATTGCATTGCCAGCGAGAAGCTGTATAAGCCAGCATAAAAAGACTGTTAATTTCAGAATCAGTGGACTTTTAGCAACTAAGAAGTAGGTTTACAAGTTATGTGATTAATGAAATCTTGGTGTCCGTAATACCCCGTGTATATAACAGTCTTCAAAGAAGATAAACTGTGCTAGCATATGGCTGCTTGAAGGGCAGTTCTAAATTTTTCTTGCCTATTCCTCTGTCCATAGACAAGGTAAGGAACTGATAACTGTTGAAACAAGGTAATACGTACTTTGTGAAATATGACAACTTATTAAAAGTCTTTTATTTTGATCTTCCAAATGCTGTGTTCACAGAGGAAGCATGTCTCACCTGTTCAGATACAGAGAGACTTGTATATAAATGTTTATGTATGTAATGACCACACTTCTGCAAAATATGCCTATAAAGTTTGTGTTTTTCACTTGTAGTGTAAGGTGATGGATGCTTCTTTTTTCTTTTTTGTTACAGATGTTTGCCAATACAGAAAGGTATATCCTTTCAATGGAGGTTCTCCACTGATCCAGCCATCAGCTTATGACTTCCACTTCAGCTGGAATCAAGTTCCTTATGCTGTTGGTAAGAAAATATCTGTTTTTACTAGATGGCTGTTTTTTTCATTACCATTTAGGCTTGCACTTGGCTGTTAGCAGAATTACAGTATAGGTGCTAGGAGTAAGCATGTTGCGTTCATGATGCCACTTTAGCTACGTTTCTGCATATGATAATTTTAAGAAGTGGAGCCTTGGTGCCAAGTTCTTCCTCTGCTGAACTTTTTTCCCTTTCTCTTTTTTCTGTTTTTCATTTTCCATTCAGTCTACGTTCTGCCAGGCATGGAGAGTGAAGTTTTCTTCAGGCTTGATGTAGCTCAATGTCCATCAGTATGTTAGACAACCTTTTTCATAGGAAAGGGAGATGCCAGAAGAGGTCAGATACTCAAGAACAGTTTTCATGGAGCATCCAAGAAACATTTACATTAACCATTTTCCCTTGCCAAATAATTTTTGTTTCATTGCAGTCTGTGCTTTCCCTTATATCCTTGCCTTCACTACTGATTCCATTGAGATCCGATTAGTGGTGAATGGAAACTTAGTCCACACAGCAGTTGTGCCTGAGCTTCAACTTGTAGCATCAAGGGTAAGACACAGGAAAATGATGTTTGACTGTTTCTGTGATATGTTGGGATCTAATTCATATAAAAAGTTACTGCAGCCAAAACCCAAACAAGCCAAAACTGAAATATGTGCTACTTAATCTATGGTAACTGTTCATGTGTGTGCTCTTAGGTTTGTATCAGGTACAAAGAGAATCGGGATTGATCTCACTGTCCTTTATTGCTCACAGTAACGCAGATCTGAGATATTTGACTGTTTATGGGGCAAATGCTATCCTCAACATCAGATATTCCCTCCACTTACAGTGGGATAACCTTTCCATGACCAACCCTCATTGACTTAGCTACAGTACAGCAATAGTGGCAATAGAACATAGTGGACAAACGTTTGAGCTGTTACTCAGAAGAAAGTCTTGCTGTACTAATGATGAGTTATTTGTCATTTCAGTCAGATATTTATTTTAAAGCTACTGCTGCAGTAAGTGGATCATCTGACAGCAGCTCTAAGGAAATGAGTTCAAGTTCTCCTCAAACACCGACAGCTTATGAAATACCAGAATGTCCTCTTTCTTCTCTAGAAGGTAACGTGGTTTCCAACCAGCTTGAATAACAATCTGATCATTCCCACAGCTATCACATCTCAGTGCAGCTGATCTTGAGTAAGATTAAATTGATCAGGCAAAAGATTTTGAGTTCCTAGCTGAGAGACTGAAAGATAGAGATTTTCTGTTTATCCACAGATATGAAGCATCTGGCTGAGCTTTTGCCCCATAGTGTCTCTTCTAAATGCATGGTAGCACTGTTTTGAAGAAACCATTTCTGCAGGAGGGGAGGAATTAAGCTTTAGTAGCCTGGTGAATCTTTGGCAATGTGGCCAAGACTAATAATGCAAAAAGAGGTATAAAATTGTGGGAACAGTTGAGATGTCGCATACACCATTCCTTTCACTTAAGAAAAGCTGAACTACCACTGGATGGTTAAAGCTATTGGTGAACTGAAAGTAAGAAGTTGTTTCAGCCTTGAAAGAGTTTGCACAGTCAATTTAGTGTAATGTAATCTGTGAACAATAATGGAGAAACAAGGGAACATCAGCTAGATAATGCAAGATGTATGTGTATCTTCCTCACTTAAATCTGGTGCTGCACTGTTGGCAGAAGGGGAAAGGAGAAAAGGGATCAGAATTTCATTTTTTTAAAAGGCAGTGGTATTTGATGTTAAGTTGCTTGGGTTTTGTTGTTTTTTTTTCCCCTAGGAATTAGGGAAACGTGGTATTTTATGTCACCTAAGAAGAGGAGCCATAATTTAAACTGCTTGGGATCCAGGCTCTGATACAGTTGCAATGTATTAAAATACATGGGGAATATTGCAGAGTGCAGAGTCATGGTGTAATAGTCAGAATACCAGCCTCAGGACATGTAAATTTACTTCCTGGTTCCACTGCTGATTCATCACATTGCCAAGAGTCAATCTTTTTCTCTCTAAGTCATACTCCAAGTCTGCACAATGTGATTGTATTTCTCTCTCCTCCTAGCCTATTTATATGGAAAGATCACTGGGGCAAGGAAGATCTTTGTTGCTTGGGTTAAAAAGCACCTCGCACAAGGAGTATAACTTTTCGTTTGGAAGTATTAAGAACTGATTGTGAAAGTGTAACATTCCTTTTTCCTTCTGTGTTTCAGGTGAAGTTGCATGCAAAAACCTGTACAAAATTCCTCTCAGTAATCTGGTTGGGCGAAGCATTGAGCGACCTCTGAAGTCACCTTTGGCTCCCAAGGTCATCACTACTACAGCATCCAGTGGCATTGCCTCGCTTCCGGTTACTCACTCACTATCCTTATCTCGTATGGAAATTAAAGAAATTGCAAGCAGAACACGTAAAGAATTGCTGGGTAAACTCTCCTCATTCTTCAGCATACATATCATTTGCTAAGTGTATTATTTCTAATCTTTGGACCATCACATTTGTAACATGCAACCAGTATTCATAAATAAGTAGTATAAACAAACAAATGCAACTGTGAGAAAACATTACTTGCAAATAGTGTAGTGAGCATCTGATCACATATAAGGTGACCATATTCTAAGCCAGGTAGAAACTATTTAGTTAATAATGGAAACCAGCGACAGATACTTTAATGTTTTCATGAATGCTTTCTTTTCTGTTGAGAGTATTAAGTCTTTTATTCTTTTATTGAGGCCTCTCAGATGAGCGTGTACCCAAGACAGAAAGTGCTCAGAAGCAAGAAAATGTTCCTCGAAGACAGTCAGACCCCAAGAAGGGAGCAGTAAGATCAACTAGTAGTGACAGGTAAATATACTGGCTTTAGAAAAGTAGCTAAGTTAGACTGTAAATGTTTTCAGAATTGATTGTTTTTCAAGCTGTTCATGCTTCTCTCAGTTGGCACTGGGCTGACTGAGACCGTTGTATACCAATGTAAATTTCTTGCTAATGTGTTTGCTGAAGGATCTGACTACTGTCAGTACTAAATGATTAGTAAAGTCTGTAATGATTAATACTGAAGTACTGAAATGATTATACTTCATGTTAAAGACAGATTAATGAGCAAAACAAGACTAAATGGGATTTTGTGGGGACCTGCTGCAGTTCAGCCTGTCATTAGGATCTGGACTACTAGATCTGCACTGTGCAGGCTTGCTTGCTGTTTTCTTCGTATGCTGTTGTGTTGCTATTTCCAGAATAAATTTTGTGAAGAAACACCATAGCATGTGTCTGTTTGGCTCTGCTTACCTGACCCCATCACCAGTCTTTTGTTTTCACAGCCTGTGTTTGTGCAGAGTAGTGGCAGAGGTCAGCCAAGATACAGTAGACTGAGATTAACGAAACAAAAAATCTGCTCCAGTGTAAAACCATGTTTGATTTATTTCACTATTTGGAAATTATTGGGGCAAGGGGGTTCATTAACATTGCCTTTTGATGATTTTCAGCAGAGAAAAACAGAGAGAAACTCAGTTTTAATGGTCTGTCTCTGTCTTCAGGATACCTGTTAATAGCCAATGATCCTACTCACCTTGAGCTGTGTATTTTTTTAGCAACTTTTGTCTTCCTCTTTGCAGGATAATCTCAAGCTCCTTTGAAAGCTATTCTGAAGGACGTCATATTTCCACTAGTTCAGATCCCGATACTTTAGCAAAGAGGGAGGAGAACTCACCATCTAGCTATCCATTTCAGCTGGTTTCTTTATATGATGAAGACATCATTGACTTGAAGTGAAGAGAGTCTTAAAAAATTTCTTCCTTACTTCACATTTTCTTACAACTCTGTGAGCTCTATGGGAATGTCACAAACACTGCTTCTAGTGGTAAAATGTGGCTGGAAGTGTTGGTGATTAATCTTTATAGAACCCGTGTTGTTCTGGCTAGTTCAGCCTGATTTGGTGATGTTTGTATCTTTGACATAGGTATGTTTTCTTTTCTCAGTTAATGAACCGTTACTTTTTGTGGCATTCTAACAGTAGGTAATCAGTGAGAGATTTAGACTGAAACTGAAGTAAATAAAAAGTATTACTGGTTCTGAGCTTCTTATAACTTGAAGTACCTGAATGACATTCAGCTAAGTTAATCGCTGTTATTACTATTGTGAGTTGTTTTACAACAGTGTATGTCATGTGGTAAGAGAAATTTTATAAATCACTCTCTTGGTTTTTCAGTCTTTAAAAAAAAACAAACAAAACAAAACAACAACAAAAAGTCTTGCAGGCAAGGTCTTTCCAAACAGTGCAGTCTGTCCTTGAAATGATGCAGCTGTGGTACGTTCACTGAAGAATCAAGGATGTTCTATAAAAATCAGGTAAGACATGAAGATACTGCGATACTGCTTGCTGTGCTCTGGCCTGGCCACGCGCATTTTTTTAGAGAAACTTGAAAACTGTTTTGGCATTAAGAATCTTTGAGCAGAGAGACTTTTTATACAAAACACAAACTTTCAAAATATTCCATAAGAGTTGGAAGTTAAAAAAAAAGCGCCACCCACCCACACCAACTATTTCTCCATCTACTTACTGTAGTGCACCTACAGATTTTCCCATTACAGGCAGAAAAGCCAACCCCTGATTCGCTTCCTGATTACACCAAGATTCCTGTACAGGCATCAGCATTAGCTGTTGTCTGCTCTTGCACCAACAGTGTAAGTCATTGTTCCAGATAATCATATTTTTCTAACTGGATCCAGACTGAAATTTTACTTCTAAGAAGCCAGTTTTCTATGATGAAATAGTAATCTTAGATCTTCTGTAATAAGATAGAGTTTCATATTTAAAGCTTGATTACTTTTTAACCCTTTCCTCTATGCCAAAAATCAATTTCAAACAATATTTTTGAAAGGGTTTTGTTTTGTTTGGATTTTTTTTGTTGTGTTTCATGAAAGTGTGATGCTGCCAGGCTTTTTACATATGAAGACTTTAGCTTTATTAACAAGTATTTCCTGTTCTGTATGTAGAAATACTTCTGTGTCCTTTATTTTATTTCACAATACCATTCACGTGTTGTTATTTCACTATCTGTCGAAGCATGACTATCTGCAGATGTGTGCTTTTTGCTTTGGTCTGAATGTAAAACTGTTTTTGCAAAGTATTTTTTGCCCAGTTTATTGTACATAATGTTTTAATTGCTCCACCTAAGGAAATATGCAAGGTCTTCTCTGAAAGGATCATTTCAGATAAGCTGAACTGAAGGCCCATTCTGGACTCTTAGATGAGTTTCTGTCAGAAATGTTTTCTATCCCAGCATGCTGGATTGGTTAGAGGAGGTGGGGCTCTTAACCCCTTTTGGCTAATGGTATTGTCACCACTTCAGCAGTGTGCCTTAGTCTGACTAAATTATAGGAATGTCATTTACTTTGGTGCAAGCATTAGCCTGTACAGGCAGTTAATTTAGAATGTACTCGTGCCTCCTTACCAGCATGGGTATGATGCATGGAATCACAGAATAGTTGGGGTTGGAAGGGATCACTGCAGATCATCTAGTCCTGTATCCATGCACTGCCATTCAAAACAGCATCAGTGGCAGGCTGTTCAGTGCGATGTAGTTGCATTTTGAGTCTGTTCAAAATGGAGGTGCAACATTTTGAGCTATTCATCATCTTTGTCCTGCATTTGCATTACAGCATGCATATAAACCATCACCACAGCCTTGAAGTATGACTAGGACTCAAGAGCCCCCAGACACAGGAGCTAAGTGAATGCCTTCCCAAACACATAATACGCAGCTCTTAAGGCTGAGGCTTTGAAGACCCTTTCCCAAGGTCTGTACATTTTGGGCTTTGGGAATTGTTGCAGACGTTATAACAATTATTTCTGTCCAGCTCGCTCTTCTAGTGGCAGTGCAGCACACACAAATTTTATAAATGTTTGAAAGTAAAAAAAAAAAACAAACACTTCCTTCTAAGGATAAAGACCCAAATGCAATTTGAAAGGGCTAGGTGCTATTCATGGTAGTGAGACTTCTGGACTCTAGGTTGAATGGAATGGATACCTTCACTTTCCTGGTTTGCAAGGAACAATTACAACCTGTTCTGATGACAGTCCTTTCTTGGTTTGGGGCTGGGGTGGGGTGGTTGGTTTGTTTGATTTGGTTTCTTGGGGGGTGTTGTTTGGTTTTTGCGATGCATAACATACAGGATGCAAGTGGCACCCAGAATGAACAGCAGGTTTGCTGTCTGCCTTCATGTGACTATTTCTGTACATGTGCAAGCATTTGTATTTGACTGGTAGATTCAAATTAAAATATATATCTAATATTTTAATATTTTTAGTACTAGGCCAGTCAACAGTTCTTAATAGGGCAGGGGACAGGTAGCACCCACATGATGTGTAACACTATTACATAACCAGTTACATATGGTCAAGGTTGTTGCTCCTGACTTTTACTTTCTGCTGTTCTACGCATATTTTACCAAGCCACAGATTCAAGCTCATGCGTGTTTTCCTAAAGGTGTGGATCTGTAACTTGTGCTTGCACATGCAGCAGCTTTCGCAGAGCTGTTGGCTTCGTCTGCATTTGAGATTAATATAATCTTCTGAGTTTGGATTTGTTTTTTAATATATACATATATATTCATCTACATATGTATGTGTATATATTTGTAATTTCTACCACAAGTTTTAGGGATTAAAAGTCCTAAGCATATATAGGAACCTAAAGTAATGTGATCTTATGGGGGGCCGACAACCCATCTGCAAGTGATATTTCAGAACCATTTTTGTTGCCTTCTGTGTATGAAAAAATGAGGACCATACTGTTGTCATTAACAATTTGATGTCGTGGTTCATATGCACATTTGCTAATTTCTGTTAAAGCAGTACTTTCTCACATAGGCTTAGCCTGATTTTGCAGAGGAATAAATTATACTCTTGAGAACCTAACAGTAACAATGCAGGAAAGCTCACATGGGCAGTATGCAGCAAACGTGTACTTGCATGCAGGTTAGAAAGTACTTTTACTCTTGCTAGCTGAGCACAGCAACTTCACCAGCCTGTATACTGCCGAGCTGCTTCACTTTGTTGCTGACCTGCAACTGACTGACTCGTGTTTGCTACTGGAAATCATTATATTAGCACATGACTTTAAGAGAAAATTTAAGATATTATTTTCTGCGTATTTATTTATAGCTCTGTTAGGTATTTATCTGGTTGAATGGAAAATGTTATGTCTCTAAAGGTTTATGCAAAAAGTGTTATCAACCTGGAATGCCAGTTTTAACTAAGTCTTTGAATGTTAGCACACGGCTTTGTAATTTACTAATTGCATATTGTTAAAACTGTTGCTATATTTGTGATCAAAACCTCTCTCCACCACTTGTCTTAAATGCTGATGTATTACCCTTGTTTCTAATGTCATGTGGTAGTCTGTATGGTTTGTGTTTTAGATGTGGCATCCAAATAGAAACAGTCCTATCATAGCTGGAACTGTTTTAAGTGCCATTTATCACCTTTTTGAAGGAGTAACAGATGATTTATTCCTTCATATGTAATAAATGCTAAATTTCACCTCACTTTTCTTTCACGCATGCAGAACTACTGGCTTTTCCAAAACTGATCCATCAGACAAGAAATTAAAAAGACAGGAGATAGTAATCCAGAGCTGTCTGCAACAGTGTACTGTTTCCATTTGAGGTCTCTAGAAATTTTGTTCCAGAGATGTCATTCATTTAAGTGCTACATCATACCTGTGAGACTGGTGTTTGTGTCTTACCTGTCTTTGACAAGAACCACAATCCGGCATTGCTTTGTGTTTCCAGGCATCTTCTAGACTATGAGACCTGCTCCAGCTGGAGATATTTACCCCTTAAATTAACACGACAAAAGATCGCTTTTCTCCTTTGCTGGCTAAGAGTAGAGTCTTGCTGCCTCCAAGATCTTGTAATTCCTTTTGAAAAAGCAATGCTCTTTCCTCAATTTTAAAATACATTCTCCTAAGAGCTACAACCCTTCTTGTGGTTTAAATGCATTCCTAGCCAACTTGGCAGCAGTAAGAAAAATAATGCCAACTTAACACTAACATCCATGAAAGACAAGCATTCATTCCAGGTTGGGATCAAGACTTATTCCATGGTCAGGCATCCCAGAAATAGTAGCAGCAACACAGAGGCATAGCACTGCAGTCTGAAATTAACATTAGCCAGGCTACATCATTCATTTCTTCACTATAACGTGCCATAACGGAAAGGTGAAGTGAACAAGGAAATTAAATTTATTTATAAAATTAGATCTTAATTTACATCTTGGAAAAAAGATACTGGCCAATACATTTAAGTCTTATTTGGCCATTCCAGTTAGTCTGCACCAGGTGAAAAGAACACAGGAATTGAAGGAAAAGAATATGTCCAAGACCTGCAAAAGGCAGATTTACTGCAGGGAGTATGCAGAAGCGTATGCAGATCCCCATAGGTATTTTTTAAAAAAACAGAAGGTGGATTTTACAAAATTCATTAAAACAATTTGATAGTAAGTTTACTAACAGATGTCTGCCACATGATGCAGTGCTGGTTTCAACCACAGCACCATAATTCATGATATGAAGGTTTCATATCAATATAAAATCCTTTAGGCTTAAGATCTTCTGAAGTAGGCCTCGATTTGTTCCAGTGTCTGTCCTTTTGTTTCAGGAACATAAAAGGCTGTAAAAGTTACATTGAGGCAGCAGAAGGCAGAGAAGAGCCAGAATGTGCCATAGGATGTTAAGAAACCCTGTGGGAGGGGAAACAAAAAAACCCCACATTATTACAGCTCACTACTGTGCAGCTATAGTTCTGTATTGCTAGAGAAGACTGTGGCTCAAGGCTCTCACAGAAGCATCTTCAATAAAGTTTCCTTATGAAAAGAAACTTCAGACTGAAATTTATGATACTTACTATAAAATCATGAAATTCTTTGGTTACCAAGAACGCCATAAGCCAGTTTGTTAACACACAAGCAGCACTTGATACACCTCTAGCTTTAAGTGGGAAAATTTCAGATATCACCAGCCATGGAACAGGACCCCAGCCAAGGGCAAAACCTGCAATTACAAACAGAAGAGAATAAATGCAAGTTAAGTACACGTTAAAGGGAAGACAGAATGATACCTAAGTAAGGGGGATGCAGTGTTCACTCTAGATTCTTGGATGATTCCAGTAAAACAGCACCTCTACCAGAAAGAAAGAGAATAAGTTATTTTAGGTCAGCATGATAAACACTAGTGCATTTTACACCAAATTAATTACAAGAATATTCTTAACAAGCAGAACTTCTTACCACGAAGTCTCCGAAATGGTAAGCTTAAAGACTGACCTTGTTTCTAACTGCTGCTACCTTGTACCGTCACAGAATTACAGTGTGACTCAGACACTAGCAAAGACTGTTTTTTTCCATTTACAACTGTAAAGCAGTTTAACACAAGCAATTACTACTTACTTTTAGCACAAGGAGTTATAAATTCATTTTCCAGGGAACTGGCTTAACTAAGCTGCTAACTCTATCACCAGGCTTGTGAACACTCCGCCCAACTTTGCATTATACACTGAAAAGGTCTGTCCAAGACATAACTCATTTCCATTCATCAATAATGTGACAAAATGGAACAAAATCGTCGCATTCATTGGAAAGTTTTGAGTTTTGTTTAATGGCTACTTAGAGGACTGTTCCACTTACCAGCAACAAAGAGCCCGAGACTCACTACTGCAAGCCAGGATATACTGCTTTCTGTTCCCGGGGATGGTGAATTTAGAGTGAACCATACAGGATTTGATGAGTTGCTTCGATTTGGAAGGACCATTTTGAAGTAAAGCCCAAACAATGCAGTACTGAGAGCCATGATTATCCCTGAAAAGTAAGCAATAACCAAGTTGTCACTGGTTGCCACTTAGGTATTCTTCTGAGACACACAACATCGTTGGTCAGCCAAATATAAGATATGCTTGCCCTCACAGAAGTGTTTCTAAAAAGATGCTGTTCTTGGAAATAAACACTGGCGGTGACAGGAGTGAATGATGCTAGACAAGCATTCTAAATACTAGCCAAACAATACAATCTTGAGAGCAGTCGTTACTGTTGAGTGTGCAGCACAACAACTGTATCAAACAGAATTAGTTTTCCTTAGCACATTTACTTCTAAAGTTAAAATTTTTAAGTATAGTCTTGTATAACTAAACACCACGATGCTCCATGAAAGTAGCAGCAGCCACAGAGAAATTAACTTGAAATAGCTATTTGTTGACAACTTGGGTATGAGAATTTATCATGACATTGAATCTTATTAAGCAGAAAAATTATTACAGTAGTAAGAACTGTCTCAGTGACATAGCTATTTCAAAATAAAAAATTGGCCTGGTAAGAAGACAAAAAGGTAGCTCTACGCAGTTTCAAGGGGCTCTAGCTACAATGTACATACAACATGATAGTTTCCTCTTGTGAGTTTAAGTCTATAGTTCTACCAAACTATAAATATAAAGCAAACCACTTAAAAATGCATAAATTGCAATACTTAATTCCCCCAACAGTTAAGACACTTTTTGGTACTATATATAGTAGTTTCCCATACTGAACAACATTCAGTAACATGTTTTACCAGATACATAAAGCAGCACTTTTCGTCCAGTTTTATCTATGATAAGTGCAGCCACAGCAGTGAAACATACTTGTATGGAACCCACAACGACAGAAGCCATCCTGCTGTCCTGAAATAATGAAAAAGGTAGGGAGAATTTGCTCTTTCAGGCTGGTAAGAGGATAACTTATCAAGCTTTACAAATGCATTTGTTTCTTGAATTTGAAAGAAAACAAACTATGCCACAGAAATTAATGGTGGGGGGACACAACATGGGAGGGGAAAAAAAGAAAAAAAAAAAAGACATCACCAAATAACACAACATACTGGTCTCTTAACAAGCTTTAAAATAAGCCACAGCTTCTCCCTAGAGCTTCACTTTCTCTAGAACATTGCATTTGCAACTCTAATTAAAAAAATAATATAGGAAGATAATGACAATAGGAATTTCTATCAGTATCAAAGTTTCAGACCAGCAAAACACAACATGCTTCACCCTAAAAAAAACAGAACATTCAGGTATGCCAGAGTAGCACAGTCAAGAGGGTATCACAGAATGTTAGGGGCTGGAAGAGACCTCTGTGGGTCATCTAGTCCAACCCCCCCGCCAAAGCAGGGTATCTAGAATCCAAACAAAAAAAGCCCACTAAAACCTAAACCCTGTTATTTATGACACAGGCAGGATCATTATCAAGTCAGTTTGTTGTGTTTTTGAGACTTCCTGCAGCACTGACTAATCCGCAACTATTCTAGGCATTTGTCAGTTTGGAAACATACCGAGATTACCTTGAAGTTTGCATCTTCAAAGATAGTTTCTGTATAAAACATAACGGCATTAATGCCTGTCACTTGCTGGAAGAACATTAGAGCCACACCAATGTGAAGTGGCCTGTAGACTGACGGGTTCTTAAATTCAGAGAGATTCAGTCCCTGTTAAAAAATATTAAACAGCAATTATTTGGTGAAAGAACAAAACAACAACAACAAACTCCTCAGAACATTTCAATCTGTTCAAACTCTAAGTTTCCCATCCCTCCTTTTAGCAAAACTATGTGCCTTAGCAGTAAAAACATTTACATTTGTAGTATCTTGAGAACTCTTCAGAAAAGCATTTTTCCCCCTTTTCTCAGGTTCTACAGAAAGAAATCGACAGTATTTTGTACAGAAATTTAACATGAATGAATCCACCGTTTGCAGAAACCAAACTTCAATAATTAGACCTGCCTATTTAAGCACACATCTCACAAGAAGCTAAATGATGCTTTTAGAGACGCAAAAGAAAATGCATTCATACAACACAAGCAACAGGAGATTAGTGTTGCAGGTGTTGAACAATCCTACAAATTTGCTAAATAATGCAAAGAACTAGATAGCTGTCCTATAATTAACAAGGCCACAAGCCTGACTGCTACTTATGTACACTGATGGCAGCCAACAGTGATAGCAGTTGCAGCTGAAAGGCAGAGGAAAGATTCAAAGAATCTCACTTGCTTCTCGAGTATCATTTGTATGTGAGAACAGGTTTCGACCACTGTCTGTAGAAAAGGCTATTAACTAAGCTTTTGTAAAACCCTTTTAATTACACTATATGCTTTCAGATGTTGTCTCCATACAAAAAGTTTTTTAGAGTAAATCGGATTCTCATCACCTCCTCCTGAACACTAGCTTCAATTTGCCTACATTCCCATTCATGGTCCGCATGTGGTCCCCGCAGAAAGCGCAAAGAAGCTATGGCTTCTGAGCGTTTGTTCCGATTCAGCAGAAATCTCGGTGTTTCAGGCATGAAGGACATGAACAATAGCATTATGCAGGATGGAAAAGAACACAACACTGCCAGCCAGCGCCATTTTAGTGTTATTCCTAAGTAAAAAAAACAAAAGAAAGAAGACTATGAACATCGAGTAGTTGTACAAACAAATTAACATTGACTTTCAATTCTTCAGTGTAGTTCTTTCATTACATGTACTAATTCTTTTTTGTAACCTAGCGCCCTAACCCCAATACCTGCAACGTAGGCTCCCAGTATGCCAGTCACCACCATCAACTGAACACAAGAGCCAAGCATACCACGGACTTTAGGATGAGATACTTCAGATATATACACCTAAAACAGGGAGAAAACATCTAATAATTACTTCTACCCAATTTTGGATCAAGGACTTGATAAGAAATTCATTTCTGAAAAAACACAGATGTATTTCCTAGTAACTCCCCTCCTTAAAAAAGCCCCAATAAAATGAAGTGAGTAGAAAGGTACCATCTTGGAAGTATATATTAGCATTACGAAAAACCCAGGGAAAAAGGGAGGACCTAAGGCAGAAGTATGTTGATGCAGTACCAGTATCAGAAAGGTGAATAAACTTGCACTAGTAACAGCTTCTTTTGTTAGCCATATTCAGCAAGAAACACATCATCACAAAGCAGTCTAGAGCTTGGAACAGTCTTTGCATAAACACGTAACCCAAGCCACATATAAAACTGTTTGTAATTGAAGTTTTAAATTTTTAGTTCAACATAAAGAGTGCAAATTGTTTCATTCTCCACGAAGTTAAAAACTGACAGCTCATCTTAACACAGACTATACGAACATCATCACATCTCATTCACTATTTGGGATCAACTTAAAATTTTCAGCTATTTTTTAACAGATTGACCCCAAGTCAACAGCTACAGTTTAGCTGCATACATAAAAAAAAAAAAAAATCACTCATATTTATACATACAATTCTTTCTAAACTCAAAATTTCTTTTTTTTTTATGGAAGGAAAATAAAGTTATCCTTATTTCAAGAATAATTTAGAGAATAATTTAGAGCTACAAAAACTTGGTATTACATACTACACTCTCCCCCCTCATTATTGCAGTCACATCGATCTTTTACTGTTGGCTGAGGGTTAAGGCCTTTACATATGGGAACTTAGAGCTCAGCTCTGTGAAACAAAGAGAAAGCAGTAATTTGTAAAGCAGACAGAATTCCTCCAAAGACATTAACACAATGGACTTACCAACCAATCTTCCAACAACAAAGAAAGTTGTACAAGATTATCATTTAGACCCTACCACCTCGAATCTTTTTTAGATTTTTATAACTATCTAGATTGAGAAAGAACAAACCTTTATTCCATACTTCATTAAAAGTGCTTCTATCCTTTGATTTTTAGTTTCCATATCACTTCAAAAGCTAGAAATGCTGGAACCACCAGAAAAGAAACAAACTTGAATTCTAGATGGTTTATTTCACACTACTACTTATTCGGCTACATCCACAAGGTCAAATAATACCAGAGAAGACAGACAACAACAGAACGAATCATCTCCACTTCCCTATTGTACATATATTCCTGAATGCGTGATAAAAGTTAATATTCAGAAGATAACAGTTAAATGGAATGAGAAGGCACTATTTGGCATTACTCCAGGATGAGCAAGCAGCCATAGTTTATTTCTAAAACCAAGGAGTTTGCTGAAATGTAAGACTATTAAAAGCAGTTGGTAATAGGGGGAAAAAAACCCCAAACCTAAACCCCACCTAATGTTATATATGAGGAACTTGAAGCGATAAATATTACTACAGTACAACATGAACAGAAGCCATCAAATGAAAGACTAATATTCAGAAAGATCTCAGCACCGTATCAGGAATGCACAGTGTAGAAGTACCACTAGAAGAAACAAAATTTGTTTTATTTATATTTTCTTCAAGATTAAAACCAAGCAAAACATGATTCTATAAAAAAACAGTTTCTTCTAAATCCACAAGCTGCCTTGGCTACAGGTGTTCAGTTACTTCCCCCAAGCCACCTACAATAATGCCATGGAAAAAGAAACAAAAAACCCGCAAACAAACAAAAAAGCAACGACACATGCACACATACCCAGAAAAACGTCTTACCTACCGGAACAACAAGTGAAGTAATTCCACTGGCTAAGCCTGTCAGCATTCGTCCAGAATAAAGCATCCAAACATTCTGAGCGGATATAATAATTATATATCCAAAAACATATGGTATTGAGCACAGCATTAGACTCAGCTTTCTCCCAACTTTATCCACAAGATAGCCTCCTAGTATTCCTCCAGCAGCAGCTCCTAATGTTACTACTGACTTCAAAAAACAAGTGGAAAAAAAGATGTTATATTATAAAAATGTTATACATATATAACAGACAACAATTTATTTTAAAACTTTGAAAAGTAAATAGCAGCTTCCAAAAAATGTGCAAGAGTATGCAGGTGTTTTGAAAATCAAAACAAACATTAACTTCTTAACCAAAACACAGTCAAGAAGCACTACTCACCAAAACTGAAGAGCAAGTAATTTTCACATTACAAAAAAAGCTCTTTCAATGAAAGAAAAAAAAGCAGCAGTAACTGTTTCTTAAACTGTCTGCAAAGCTGTCCATTCACAAACACGCCTTTCAAACTGTTTTAAAGCCCTGAAGAATTTGCTATCTTGACTAACCTGAAGTCCAGCCTGTATCAAAAAAGCTTCCCCATGTTGACGGATTGCACTAATTTACGAAAAAAAAATTTTTCTGTGGTCCCTTAACAGGTTCAACTGAGAAACATGAGAATAGTTAGAAAACATTTTAGCATCAAAAAAATGTTCAAATAATTAGGGGCATTTATTAATGTTAGGGGCATTTATTAATGTATGCTAACGGAGAGTTATCAGAGCATAACAGCACTGTTACCCAGGAGAAATTTGAATCAATCACCGAGTTTAGGAAAAAAAAAAGGATTTCATTATTAAGACCTGTATTCACTCTCATTCTTAAAAGGACTAAGATTCCACCATATAAGCAGCATCTTCCCGACCTAAGCTTTCAAGTGAAATCACACAATGGCGATGCATCATGCAGATACCTACCCCAAACCACGAGGCCTGACTGCTGTCCAATCTTAATTTAGGATCGCCGATCCTCCTCAACTCCGGAATAACAGGCGAGCTATAGCCTAGCACGAAGCCAAAGCTGAGCGGTCCCAGAACAGCAGCGAACGTGGCCAGGTACAGCTTCTTGTTCTGCACTCTAAGCAGAGGAGGCCGACAAGGATCGCGCCGCCCTCACCTCCCGCTTGCGACCCCAGCTCCGGCCCCTCACCAGGGCCAGTAATGCTCGGGTAGGCCTCGCAGAGTGCGCGACCCGGAGCCCGCCTCGGGCGTCCCCCGCTATCGGCCACGGC